TCCTCTGTGGAACATGTGGACCTTTATATGTTTGCCAGGTTTTGAACCAAGAGATCAGTTAATTACATTTCCTCACTGAAAATTAATTAAGTTAATTCCAAATGCCGTTATGTTTACTCTGTTTTAAAAATAAAGATGAAGACAAAAACTTAGGGTTGTTGTTGGTTTTTTGGGGTATAAATTAAGAAACAACACCTTAGTGTTGCAAAAAAAAAAACTTACAAGAGACTTGTATTGAAGATGGAAAATGAGCTTGTGTTGCTCATTCATTAACTCACTATTTATAGTGATTACATGAAACAAACTAGCAAAATATCCAACTAATAATTATCCTAAAAATCTCAATAAAAATAATCTTCTTCTACTAGCAAATCTTAGCTAATATATTTGTTAACAAACCAACATGATATTTGGTTAACAAATATCTTTATTTCTCTAATAACTAAATTATTTTGATATCAAACTCAATCTAATAAAATTTGTCGGAAAAGTTAGCATAACTTGGAATGGTCATGATATTTGAGATTTTCCTGCTTTTTTAATTGAGCTATCTTCTCTCTACCGACGAAATTTCTTTCGAGTCTTATGTGGTCTGAAAGTAGTAAAGGTTTGCTCATAATTGACTTGATTAGTTGACTTGGCTGCTCATAATTGACGTGACTGCAATAATGACCTTCCTAACTTTGATGGTGCAATAATGATCTTCGTACCTCTGCAGGGTGTAATAATGACCTTCCCAACTTGGAATGGTTCTTGAGATTAGATTGTCACTTCTGCTAGAAGAGAAATTGAAAGGATGAACATGGAATTACATCCTGACTTGGTCTAAAGTGGCTGTCAAGAATTCCACCAATTCTGTGGAATGGATGGATAAAAAGTACTTCAAAATGGAATAAAGAAAGGCTCTTGAATAGTTTCCATAGTATCGTAGTCATAGACCAATTAGAAACATTTCTTCACCGTCAATGTGGGAATCCTTTGTTCTCCTACTCGCTTGCAGCTTTGGGGTTTGTATTGCGTTAGATACCATTACCATCACTCAGCCTATCCAAGACTCTGAAACTATAGTTTCCGCTGGGCAAAAATTCAAATTAGGATTCTTTAGTCCTGAAAACAGTAGTGATCGCTATGTTGGAATAATGTATAACCTACCTGGAACAGCCATTATATGGGTGGCTAATAGAGAGAGACCTCTGAATGATTCCAGGGGAACCGTGGTAATCCTGGAAGATGGAAATCTTGCTGTCATAAATGGAGTGAAGGACATGCTATGGTCTACTAATGTTTCAATTTCTTCGGCGAATTCTAGTGCACAACTCCTGGATACTGGGAACCTGGTCTTGACAGACGAGTCAAACGGGAGAATCAAGTGGGAAAGTTTTGAGCATCCTACAGACTGTTTTTTGCAATACTCGAAATTAGGTGCTAGTACAACAGGGTCGATCAAAATAACCTCATGGAGAAGCCCTTCAGATCCTTCTGTTGGAACTTTCTCTGCAGGTCTCAGCCTCTCACAAATTCCCCAACTCTTTGTTTGGAATAATAGTAGCCCTTACTGGCGGAGTGGCCCATGGAGTGGTACCGCGTTTATTGGGATAGCCGGCATGGCTTCTGCAAATTATCAAGTAATGGATGTGTTGGAAGACAATTCCGGATCTCCATATGTCACTTATAACTATGTTGATACTCCTTTTTTTTACTATCTGTTGAGTTCATCAGGGCATATACGGTCAATGTTTTCAAGTGGAAAAGGAGACTGGACCATAAACTGGTCAAGTCAACTGAGCCAATGTGATGTTTATGGAAAATGTGGACCTTATGGGAGCTGTAATCCTAAGGGTTACCCAATCTGCACATGTCTGCCAGGTTTCAAGCCAAGCGATCAGGAGGAATGGAATCAAGGAAACTGGACAGGTGGTTGCATAAGAAAAGAATTGCTGCAATGTCAGAGAAATGAATCTGCCAGTAGAGAGGACAACCAAGATGGATTCATGAATCTTACACACATGAAAGTTCCTGATTTTGCTGAGCCAATGGCAATTACAGAACAAGAATGTCGTAAAAACTGCTTAGACAATTGCTCATGCACAGCTTATGCATTTTATGTTGGCATAGGATGCATGCAATGGAGTGGCATTTTGATCGATTCAGAGCAGCTTCCCTTAGATGGGACAAACTTATATATTCGGGTACCAAATTCTGAACACGGTAAGACAATTTTCTGCACTTTTTCTTGTTGTTTCTTTATTACTTTACTCTTTATTGTCTTTTTGGTTCAAATTACGTATAATATAGTTTGATTCTAGCTGTGTTTCTAGATTAAGCACCTGAAACTGTTAAATTTTAAATTCCCTTTTCTACTTCTAAAGTGCAAGAATATTGGATGCAGTTGTTGCAGATACGAAAAGGGAGGCTTATACCTCTATACTTGGTAGTTAAAAATTTTGTGAATGCTTTGAAACATTTGACATATGGATACAGATACGAAAAGGGGTTTCAAAGTTGCAATTGCAAGCACAGTGTCTGCAGCAGCTGTACTCCTTGCACTCTGTGTGTGTCTTTGTTGGAAGTGTATAGCCAAGCACAAAGGTAATTGAACAGTACAGCTCAAGTGCTGCTAAAGGTTTTGAGATTGGTAGTCATAAATCCACTTGTTCATAAACAGGGAATGAGCAACAAGCTAAGTTATCACGGATGGAAGAAGTGCATAAAGTGGAAGATATGGTTACTGTAACCATGAACCAAGCCAAGTTTGAAAAGCTACCCCTGTATACTTATGAAGCATTGGCTAATGCAACGGATAATTTCCACTCAAACAAAATAATAGGGAAAGGTGGCTTTGGTCCAGTCTATAAGGTAAACTGAGCTTGGCTTGGCATGGATATTTTAATTTGCACAGTATGTGCTTTGGCAGCATCTAATAATGATCTATTAGCAGGGAAAGCTGTTTGATGGCCTGGAAATTGCAGTAAAGAGGCTTTCAAATTCTTCAACTCAAGGGATTGAGGAGTTTATGAATGAAGTCATGGTTATTTCGAAACTCCAACACCGGAATCTCGTTAGACTTCTGGGCTGCTGCGTTGAAAGAGAAGAAAAAATGCTAGTCTACGAGTATATGCCAAACAAAAGTCTAGACGCCTATTTATTTGGTTAGAAAATCAAGACCTGTTTACATTTTATAGGCTTCTTGCATACCATCTAAACTGAGAACAGGATATTTGTCATGTCAAGGCTCCAGAGTACTAGTAAAACAGAAAAATATAGTACATAATAAGTCCCTGCAGAAAAGTAACATAAAAACTGATGTGTATTAATTCACATTATTAATGTTACAGATGCCAATAAACCAAACATACTTGATTGGAGAAGACGTGTGATCATTGTTGAGGGGATTGGTAGAGCCCTCCTTTACCTTCACAGAGATTCAAGACTGAAAATTATTCATAGAGATCTGAAAGCAAGCAACATCCTCTTAGATGAAGAGCTCAAGCCAAAACTATCAGATTTCGGTTTCGCCAGAATTTTCGGAGGCAACCAAGATCAAGCCAATACTAACAGGGTCGCGGGGACATAGTAAGCATATATTTGCTTTATTATTCAAACTGTTTTCTTTTCCCCCTAAGTTTAACTCTTTTAGCATAAATGATGCTATGACAGTGGCTATATGGCACCAGAATATGCAATGGAAGGAAGATTTTCTGAAAAGTCGGATGTCTATAGCTTTGGAGTGCTATTATTAGAGATTGTTAGTGGAAGAAGAAATACTACCTTCTATAGTGATGAGAATGAGCTGAGCATGCCAGGACATGTAAGTTCATTGATTTCTTCAACTAATATAGTATCACTACTCAAGCAAAGTTCCTCATCCTATTTTTGTTGACTAAACTCCGTTCTTGATTGCAATATCACAGGCGTGGAAGTCATGGAATGAAAATGAAGCAGCAAAACTGATAGATCCCGCAATATTTGATCTGGGCGCCATAACAGAGATGTTGAGATACATCCATGTAGGATTATTATGTGTGCAAGAATCTGCAAAAGACAGGCCAGATGTCTCTGCTGTTCTTTTAATGCTTACTAGTGAAATTTCAAATCTCCCTCGTCCCAAATTCCCAGCTTATAGTGGACGAATAGGTTTCTCAGAAAAGTCTTCTCGACAAAGGGCTTATTCCATTAACGACATAAGCTTATCATCTATTGAAGGCCGATAGCCCAGCACAGTGCATATTGTTTTTCAGCCACCAGTTTTTACCATTCTATGTACAAAAGCTGTTAATCCACGACATGAAGGACTCTATCTATATTGGTATCAACGTCGTTAAGGAAAATAGTTTATAAATTGTTCCGCATTTTATAAATCCCATGATCTCCTTTTTGTTTCCTGACAATTAATTCTTGTTCATTCTGGTTTTCTGTTCTCATTATCTGGATCCTTTATTGTATGTCATCTCCATTTTCATCTATTTGTTCTTACGAATGACTGGCTAGTGAAGAAATGTATCAGTTTTATTGTCAAGACAGCATGGGGATCATGCATAGTTATAGACTACGTGTGATTTGCTTTGGGTGCATCAAAGTGCAGACAAATATCATTGAATCTCATACAGACAAGTACACTTTGTATCCTTGTTTTGTAGTGCATATTTGCAACACTTTTAATGAAAATCCATCTTAAGCTGTGGAAATAATCAAATTGAGCACATAATCCTATCACATCTCTCAAATGATGTTAACTTCCCCATACAATAAGTTGTCGAGTTATATGGTTTTGTGTAGTGCCAAGTAGGCAGACTTTAATATGACGTTCTTTGCTTTGTGATCTCAGATTTAAAACCTCACATTTGCATCCTTCAAAATATCTCTTAAGTGTCATGCTTAGGACTCGGTTATAATGAGTCAAATATCTCTTTGATCGAGCTTAGATTGATTTAAATTTACCAAATATCTCTTTGATCAAGCAATCTTGAGCTTGACTTGTCACAATTTTCGAGCAACTCAAGTTTGACTGGAATAAGCTCAACAAAATAATGAGCTCTAGTTGCTTGACACATATTTGTGTTTTCCAAAACAAATTAGAGAATTACGTACTCATTAAACTCAACAGCTTCTTGAGAAAAAACAAAAAGACTCAAGCTGGAGTCGTTTAGCTGTTTAACCAGATTGAGCTCACAGACAATCCTGAACTCAGGTCAAGCTGGGGACCAGACACCTTATGCATTGCTTGGTTTGTTTGCATCCTAGTCCTATTGATTCTTGTTCCTTTCGCGAAGATTGTTCCTTCTGTTTTGCTTCTTTACTGGCACCATCAAATGTAAATGCTGCTGCATATACTGCTGCTAGAGCACAAGTTCAACTTCAACCTCGCCTCCTTGTCATAATCAAATTATGTTGGTTACAGAACGCAATACATACTTGGACGAACACAATACATCCTGCGTCTCTTAGAGGGATGATGCTCACTGCTTGCAGTCATTGGATGAGAACTTTAGATGGTGAAGCATTTGATTGCATATGCCAAGTTGCTTTAATAGTTGCTAGAGAATACGCAATATTTGCTGCAGAAGGAAGTCTGAAGAATGAATCGACTCAGCTCTTTCGCATCAACTATATATATATATATTAGAAAATGTTACGTCTTCATCTTGTAAGCTACAGAAAGAATATTATCCCAACTAAACAAGTCTCCTTCCCAATATAAATATGAGCAACACACACCTCTAGCTCCCAAAGTTGAGACAACAATTGGTCCATCTCTTTATCATAGTTCTTGAAGCTGATGAACACGAATGCCACAATAGGCTAACTCCTGCACGATCTGGAAAGCAAAAGGAATCTTGACCGACGGCAGTTCAGTTTAGCCATTCTCTAAATCCAAAATTCTCTAGCCATTCTCGTTTGGTTAGTTTGCCTCCTTCATCTCACCCTCTTATCGTGACTGCTGAGAAACACCTGTAAAGATTGAAGTCATCAGAGATGCCATCCTCAACTTCACATTCATTGGCAGGCCAAATATTGGATGGCCTCAACTTGTCTTAGTGTCTGGATGATGTGGTTCAGCTTCCTTTCAGTTAACAAGCTCTCTCTGATGAAAGACTGGCAAAATGGGAAGAACAGGTCTTGGATGGATGTGTCAGGCTGTTGGACATTTGTGGTGCAGTAAGAGACATCTATTTAGAGACAAAGGAAGTGTGCAGGTACTTGAATCATCTTTACCGAGAAAAACAAGTGGAAGTGTGGACAGTGAAGTCAACTCATATATGATCTGCAAAAAGAACTTGAACAAAATGATTAGCAAATGCCACAAAGAATTGAAGAAAGCAGAGAAGAACTGCAACTTGGGAGTGGTAAACAAATAGTCTTACATGGTTAACTTGATCAAAGATGTTCAAGTTGTTGGTCTTCTGGTGTTGGAGTCTGTTCTGTCTTTCCTTTCTGGATCTAAGAGGAGTTATGTGTATATTTTAAAAATCATAAGAGAGTTATATGGTAAAATATTAAACCATAAGGGGGTTATATGGCAAAATATAAAAATTATACGGGGTTAATGTATTATGTATTTATAAGGGTAATTTCGATATTTTTAGAAGTTCCGTTACGAATAACTATTTCCGTCACTTTGACACTTTAATTCAAACTATGAGGGAGTTATGTATAGCTTTTGAAACCCTAGGGGGTTATATAAAAAAAGGCTAAACGACAAGGGGGTAAAATGTAATTTGCCCTATATTCTATGGTATATGGTGAATTTTTTTTTTTTTTTTGTTAAAGCAGAATTTGACAATGTAAAAACTTTGTAAATTTGCAATTTTGTCTGAGGCAGATTTTTCTGTCTTTTGACAGGGCAATGCAGAATATTAACATCACACAAAAAAGAGTAAATTCTAAAAGTAGGAAATGTTTATCATTAATGTATGGGTTTAGGGATAATATCAGAAACCTCCCTAGAGGTTTCTCCTAAAACAATTGGCACCCCTTAAATTTTAAAAATATCACTTACCTCCTCTAATAATTGTAAAAAGACTATGCATTATTCTCTCAAAAACTGAATCTCAAAAAAAAAAAGTCACTTTCTTTTCTTTCTCTTTTCTCCAACATTCTCTCTTACTCATTTTTTAGATAACTAATGCAATATTTTATTTGTAAATTATAACAAATTGAATTTTAATTATCTTTTACTTTTCGTTATCATGATAGAGTAGGGTATGATTTATTTACTTATTTTAAGTTGATTTTTATAATACTCAGTAAAATTTAAAGATTTGGGCATGAGTTGAAAAGAAGTTGGAAAAAAAATATAAAATTCCTAAGAAATCGATTTTGAGTATAAAGAGTTAAATTAGTGCAAGTGTTTTTCTCTGCAAATATCTTTTTTATTTTTAAATTTATATTTTTATGGATTATAGCGTTATGACGTGGTAGTACTAGTAGAGATTGTTTTTTAAATAATTGTTTTCTTGAAGTAAACGAAGTGGTTTAGGAATATTTTTATTTAGCAAGTAAAAGAGTAGTTTATGGTTTTTAAAAATTTTGTTACACAAATAACAAAAGTAAGAAAGGTAAGTGATATTTTTAAAACTTTAATGACACTAAGTGATATTAAAAGAAACCTTAGAGGAGGTTTCTGATATTATCCCAGGGGTTTAACTACTGATGTTTCTGAAGCAAAACCAAGACATATAATTCTGCAGTTTTAAATGTGACGCCGAACTGATGTAACGTTTTTAGCTAAGGTCCCACATTTGGCTGATGAACCCTTAAGATGACTTTGATTTCTTACCAAAAAAAAAAAGGCTGAAAAAGCTGACTTTGATGCCAATGAATTAAACTAATCCTATGCTTGCACCTCGAAACTTGTATCACTTTTTTCGCTTTGCATCATAAACTTTAATTTCGACACTTTGCACCCTATATCTCAAGTTTATTACATTTAAGTTCAATCAATGATTACCTTCACATAATTAACAGATAAAGAATGGTGAAATTAAATTAATGACAATGTATTGTATTGTTCTAACTGCGATCTCTTATTTTGTTTGACCACTTTCAGTCCATTATCATTGATATGCATGGTCACAATCATTAATATTGTTAGTAAAATTAACTAAATAAAAGATGTTTCAAATTGATAACAATTTATTGTTTTACTTTTACTATGATACTTTGGCATCTGTTGACCACTTTTGGCACATTATTATTGATTTTTTGGGTCCTCTATGCTAAAGTTGTCATTAATTAGATTTAAATGTGGCAAATTTGAAAGTTTAGGATATAAAGTATCTAAAATTGAGAGTTTAGGATGTGAAGTGTCCAAAATTAAAATTTAGGGTGCAAATTGAGAAAGTGATATAAGTTTTGAGGTGCAAAGTGGAGTTAGTCCCAACAAAATATGTTGGCAAGACATTATCAACAAAAATTTTAAAATTTTAACAAAAAATGAAAATTTTAAAAGTACTTTATCAAAGTTTAAGCATCAAAAGACAATATTCAATGCAAATTTAAAAATAAGATGACAATTAATGGTTTTAATTAAACTAAAAGACTAAATATGTTTTCAATAGTTACAATATTTGGTCGAAGAGTAAACAAGGATATACTTTATTACAACAAGCCATTTAGAATAAAAATTTTCGTTCATAGAACTAGCAATATCTGTGCATATGTGATTTATATTTATTAAATTAAGTACTTATAGTTAAAGAAAAGGTGTACCTTTTTATTATTTTTTAACTAATTATTTTTCAAAAGTAACCATTTTTAAAGTGCTTTTGAACTTAGATAATTCATGTGTATTATGAATTTAAACAATTATGATATTTAAATTTGTAAAGTCTCATTAATCTATATTCTTAAACTCGGATCAGATCGACTAATTTGATCCGTTGAGACGAAAATCGGCTAGTCCTCTAATCCGAGTTGGTATTGAGAGTCAAGGGCAAGAAACTCAGTCAAAATTGATAAAAAACTCGATTTGAATATGAAATGATAAAATTAAAAAAAAAATTGGTTTATTTCCTATTTTCTATTTTTGCTAAATTTTCATTTTTTGGACTTTTTAATATTTTCCTATTTGGCTAACAACAACACAGTAACTCTAAAAGTTTGAGATTTGGTCCGAATTTTATCAGATCTGAAATCAAACAAAAGATAAAAGAAAAATGCATGGAGGTGAAGAAATCTCACATAAGAAAGGATAAAAAGATCTAAAATCAAAAGAAAGGAAAAGATGGTGCGAGACGTCTGAGTTCGATTCTCGATGCCCCCATTGGATAATCCAAACTACTCCAATCTACACAAAAGAAAAGAAAAGAAAAGATATCAAGAATGGGAGAAGGAAAGATAAGAGGAAGAGAAGCTGAGGAACGGAGTGTGCGACAGATTAAAAAACACCATTAGAAAAAAGAAAAAACAAACCAAACACACGAATTGGAAACTTTGTCATGCGGAACATAAAGAACTGGAAAGTGGAAAGCTTTTGACGGCGGATGGGCGGAGAAGAAAATACGAGAAGGAACTTTTAAGTTTGAAAAAAAAAAAAACTTTTCTCATATTAATTAGACTTTGACTTCTTAATATTTTGGACAATCATAATTACACATATAGAATTCTTTTATTATTCATTTGCAGCCTTAGTTTATGGATTTCTACAATGATTCATATTTTCATTTTGGATTCAACATCTTATGGAATTAGAGAGAGACTCATAAGTTATTATATCTTGTTTAAAAAGTTCTATCAAGTACTTTGTATACTTTACTATTAATTATATTTAACTTAGTTATCATTAATTTGATCCCTTAATATATAAGATATCTATGGAAAAATTGAAATCACTATGAGTACATGTTTATTCTATTAATTTTATTTTATATATAATTAAAAAAAAAACTTATGACAACATTACGACGTTATTTGGTTTGACCCTAGATCTAACCGATTGAACCCAAGACGCCTGAGCTCCACCAAAACATTACTCGGTCTAAGTTTCAAAACATAGTACTGTGATTAATCACAAAACTTAGAGGGTCGATTATTGTGATTAACTCTGAAAATATGGGTTAATTACATTTATCTCCCCTAAGATTTGATCAAACTACCAATCAATCCTTGTAGTTTGGCCAAATTACAAGTACCCCTTCTCGATAACACCGTCAAAACCCTTCAAACAAAAGCAATAAAATGACAGATTTATCCTCTTTGTAGAAAACTTCAAGTTAAAAGTTGTAAGCTGTACTCCATTAGTATTAAGAATTATTAAAGAGTTTTTTACTTTAAGAAAAACAAACAAAAAGAACAGATTCTTTCCTAAAAATAGTCAGTATTACTCATGTCAAACCAAACATGTCAGTACTCTATTCCCATATGAACAGAAGGCACAAAGACAAACAGAAATTACGGAAGGAAAGTGTCACCATAACTCTTTTGCTGTCCTACCATTATTTCTTCAGGTCTTAATTCTCCAACATGTTCCTTTTTCATGACCACCGTTTTCCCACTTTGTCTTCCCACAACCATCACAACTACATCGGCAAATCCATATTCTAGCACAGTTCTAAAGCTCAATATTCTAGAGATCTGAAAGGTGTTAACACGAGGAATCCATTGGTACCATGGATCAATTATGTTTTCTTTTTTTTTTTTATTTGGGAAAAAGAAACATGATCTGCTTTGATACCGATGGTTATTGTGAGCTGCAACTAATGGATTTCCAATGGTTTGATCTAGGCTGGCTATTGGTGTGTGATATTTTTCAATGGGCCTTTTCCCCTTTTTATTAGAATTAAAGGAAGCGATAGGTAGACGTCACGGATGACCACAGAGAAGAATGATGCGGCTTGAAAGCAATTAATTTCCTTAACTTACTATAATTTCAACATTGAAAATGTTTTTGCCCAAAAATCTTGAGTCTACTGTTGCATGGGCTGAAACCTTAAGAGGGATAATTCGTGCCCATTGTTGCTTTGCTATGGCTGCGTCAATGGAGGTAAACACAGGACGAGACGTTGACTTGTAAAATAACAGCAACAACTTGGAAGAGGCGGCTGACATAATCTAAACATTATCAGTCAATGTCAATCGACTAATGAGAGGGATGTTTTTGTCATACAATTTTTAGTTTGAGGGACCTTTTTGTGGTTTGACCAAAATTTAGGGTGTAAATATGGTAATTTGGTCAAACGTCAAGGGAGGTAAATATAATTAACTCTAAGCTTAATGCTTCACTGGTCATGAGGGGGCAAAACGTATATTCTTTTGGCTAGAGGGGGCAAAGTGAGACTACCCTATAGTTCACAGGGGCAAAGTGTTATTAACACTTATGTTCATTCTCTTTTAATTGCTTCCACTTCTTGAAAATTAAAGATGAAGACAGGAACCCATAATGCATTAAAAAGTAAACGAATCTTCGAGA